CTATGTACGTAATCTACGTTTCTGAATACGCGCTGCGGCATACCCAAAACAAAGCCTGTATACCATCCTTATTTCATATGGCTTAGGACAATGCATCAAAGTATGCGGGTTCACATATGCAGAAAACGTAATACTTCAAGTCAAAGGATAGTTACACCCGTGGTCGCGCTAAAGATGCTTAGAGCATGAACTAAAAATTCAAGCAACATCTTTAGAATGGGTCAGTCCGGCATCCTATTATCTCTAGATAATATCTGCCCATGTGCGAATGCGAACACACCGTCATTGACCATGAGACTAAGTCAAACATCCAACACACACTAGTCTCACATGCATTAACGATATCCCACTCTCGTTAATACTCGACTATGGACATTCAGATAAATATTTATTTCAAGATGTTAGTCTCATCAGCAGAATAACACTATCTGATAAACATCTTTAAATATAAATCTAGAAATATAATATTTGTTTACATTAGCATGAGATGTGTAAACATATTATATCTGCCTATAGATGATAAAATAATGATAAACAGTTGTCCATCAGGGCACAACTCCAACAGTTCATTCATAAATTACTACTTGTAATTCCTGTTTATGTGGTACATTTTAATTATGCATTTCTTTTGGGCAATAACGCGTGTGTGTCACACGCTTTTTTTATATTATTTTGTTTCGAAACAAAAAACAATGTTGTAATATTTGTATTTTATTTATCTATTTTTTCATTAATAAATTATCTATTATTATAAAAATAATAAATCAAATGAAAAACATAATTTTAATCTACACTAATTAAAAAATAGATAAAATGAAAAAATGATAATATTACTCCGTATTTAACTAAAATAAAAATCAAATGGTAAGTGTTTGTTAATTACTCCTTCCGTCCTAAAATTTTCTTCCCGTTGCGTAAAACGAAGAAAAATTCCAAGTTTTTTAAATCTATTTTATTTAAATATTGGTATAGAAATATAAAATAAAACATACATATTTAAAAATTACATCAAAAGTTCAACAAAACAAGTGGTTACAAGAATATTTTATTTTATCATATAGGCCATCAAAAACACAAATAAATATAAATTCCCGTGAAGTTGGAATAGTGCTCTGGGAAGAAAGTTTTAGGACGGAGGGAGTAATAGAGTAGATTTGTAGATGGAGTTTCATTTCATCAAATGTCTCCTGCAAAAATCAAATGTCAGACCGGTCCCACACTTCCATTATGTCAGTAGAGACTTCACCATTTGGGAATGGAAATTCAATATGTGCACTGATTGGGAAATCCCCCGATATCTTTCCTATTAGCTACATCCCATAACAGCTTCATCACATTGGCCTTATTCTAGTTAACCAGATTCTTCAGTCAGATCCCACCTTTATTTTTGGGTAGGCAAGTCTCTCCCCAATCATCTTTTATAAATAAAATAAAACTTAATTTTAATAAGAAATCCTAAACTAACACAAGTCATAAAATAGGATGAAACGAGTGAGTAATTGAAATAAAATTGAAGAGAACAAACTCAAAATACTCCCTCCGTCCCACAGTATTTGTCTACTTTCATTTTTGCACACCATCAAATACACTTCTTTAATCCATTTTATCTTGTAATTTGTATATTAAAAATTATAGAAATTATATATTAATAATCTATATGTTAAGACAAATCAAACAAGATCACACATGACTATATTAAAGCTTACACATTGAGAGAATTTGATTAGTCAAAGTACTTAGATGAACAGTTCCAAAAGTCAAAAGTGAACGAATATAGCGGGACGGAGGGAGTAATAAATTAACAAAATCAAAATCATGAAATTACCCTTCAAAAGATGAAGGCGGGGGACGAACTTTCCCACACAGATGTGGCATGGAGGATAGAGACCAGAAATAGCCAGAGGAATCTGATGACAAAAGCCCAATCAATAACAGCAGTCAGGTAGAAAAAGTTTTGGATGGTTCTGGGTCGTAAAGTTGAACCCGACGTGAATCGAACACGCAGCCTTCTGATCTGGAGTCAGACGCGCTACCATTGCGCCACGTGTCCCTTTGCTAAAACTACTCCGTATTAATTTAACTAAGTAAAACGCATACAGACACTAAGGTGGTGTTTGTTTTTCTGCCAGAAGACCTTCTGGCGTCTTTTGTCTGCGCCGCGCAGACGATGGACTCTGCAGATTGTTTGTTTTTTGGAAGACATTTCACTCAAAAAGGTCTTCCTGGCATCTTCTTGGAGAAGACATTAACCAATGTCTTCTAATATCTTCTAACATCTTCTCCTTTTTTTTTCTACTTCTCTTCACCACCACAACCGTCCACCGCCACCGTCCACCACTACCACCGTCCACCATCACCGTCACCGTCCATCATCATCGTCGTCCACCACCACCGCCACCATCTACCGCCACCACCACCACCGTCCACCACCACCCTCCACCACCACCACAATCGTCCATACACCACCACCATACACTACCACCATTAATTTATATAGCAGTCTACAAACATTAAAAAAACAAACAGTCTTCTTCTTGCAGACCGCAGACCTTCGGTCCACCACTTCTCCTGCAGGTGTCTACAGTAGTGGTCCGCAGACCGCAGACCTTTTCCTGCAGAAAAAACAAACACCCCCTAAAGATGAGATGCACCAATTTTCTTTACTTCTTCTTTTTAATTGCTACTTATTTTCTCTAATTTTTTAAAAAATATAAAAAATAAAGTAATCATTTCATATCTTCTTTTATAGAAATTCAATCTAGTTTTTATTTAAATGACACTAAAATATACGGAGTAGTGGATTTCCCTATATGACACGACAACTTTTAATTTCTATAACCACTTAACCAGTATCTAATTAATTCATAAATAATTAATTATTAATTCTAGTATGTTAAAATGCTCTTTATATAATTTCATATTTACTACTCATCCTGCATAGTCACGTTAACAGCAGAGTTAATAACGCCAATTCTTTGTTGTTTTTGTTTGTCCAGACCTGGGTCAATGATTAACTGTATTGGGAGTATCGAGTAGTAACTCACATGCATTATCCAAGTCCCAAGTTCTCCTGTATTCTTTTTTTTTGGAAGGGACCAAGTCCTGCTATTTAACAAAGCCAGAACAATCAAAACAATAAAACAAAAACCAGCTGCACATGAAGATGATGGACATGGCGTGGGTGTGGACAGCGCTTGCTCTGTTTGCAGCAGTAGCGTCTTCTGCTCTTCTTCTTCTTCTCCTTCACGGCATTACCAAGAAGAAGAAGAAGAAGAAGAATGCCCCGCCGCCAGGTCCAAGAGAGCTTCCCATTCTCGGCCACCTTCACCTGCTCGGAAAAAACCCCCACCGGGATTTGAGCAAGCTCGCCAAGGTGCATGGCCCCATCATGCGTCTCCGGTTCGGGTTCTTGGACCACATAGTCATTTCCTCCCCTCGCGCCGCACGCCTCTTCCTCGAGACACATGATCTGGTTTTCGCCAGCAGACCCCCTCACGAAGCGGCCAGGATCATCTCCTATGGCCAGAAGAATCTGAGCTTCGCCCGGTACGGGCCCTACTGGCGAAACGTCCGAAAGCTGGTCACGCTAGAGCTCCTCAGCCATCAGAAGATCAGCTCGTCCCGGGCTCGTGCTACCAAAAGGAACGAGCTGTGTCTACTGGTCGAGTCGCTCAAGGCTAAGGCCGCGACTGTCGATCTGACAGCCGCGGTCTTTGCCCTGGTGGCCAACGTGAGTTGCCGGATGGTGTGTGGGAGGAAGTACGAGATGAGAGAGTTTGAGGGTGCGGTTAGGGAAGGTTTGCAGCTATATGGGATGCCAAATCTTGGTGATTATTTCCCACGGCTTGGTTGGCTTGACCTTCAAGGATTCAGGAGAAGGATGAAGGGCGTTGTTAAGGTGTTTGATCAGTTCTTGGAAAAGGTCCTGGTTGACCATGAGCGGCGGGATCACCAGCAGTGCGGCGGGGAGGATTTCGTTGATACTATGTTGTCCCTCTTGAACTCCGGCGAAGCAGATGATGATGAGCTTAGGCTCAACCGTGAACATGTCAAAACTATTTTGCTTGTAAGTGGTCACCAAACTAATCTCTCCATTCCTATTTAGTACCGGAGTACTGAATAGGACTAAAACATAATGACTTTTTTAATATAGAACTTAACTTTTTTTATTCCCTAAATAGGACATAATAATGACCTAGTGGAAGGAATAATGTCCAGCAATGATACACATTTAGTTGAATAATGACTTCGTGATAATGACCAAAGGTTCTACATTGGGAAATAAAAACATATGGTCATATATTGGGAAAGTCATTATGTTTTAGTCCTATTTAGGTAAATTTCTCTTCCTATTTAACTTCCATTCCTATTTAACTATCTATTTTGTTTTGCGTGATAAACGTTTGACTGACTTAGTGACTATAGCTAAAACTATACAATGAATTACTCCTTCCGCCCCCTTCAGATTTTTCTCGTTTCGACTTTTTGTGATTTTTAAGAAAAATTGAAAAAAGTAAAAGTTTATCAAAATATTCTTAATGAAAATGAGTAGAGTATACTCCCTCCATCCCAAAAAGATTGGTACATATTGACTTTTTAGAAAATTAAGGGAGAGATAGTGTGGTGTTGACTTTCCAAAAATACCCTTGATATGATGAGTAAAAGTAGGATGTGATGGGTAGATTATTAGGAAAAAAATATGATGTGATAGGTAGGGTATGAAAAAGTAAGGGGTAAAAGTGGTTTTTTAATAGAAATGTAACGGACTTTACGGGACGCAATTTTTTCGAAACGTGTCGGACTTTTTGGGACGGAGGGAGTATTAAATAAGATAGGAGGGTGTAACAAATAAAATTAGTGTGGTTAGTCGTATTATTTTAAATGTTTAAAAACTAATGAAAAAATCTATAAAGAACAAATAAAAAGTGTTGATGAGAAGAACAATGAGGGATGGAAGAGAAAAATATAAAAACTATACCAAATTATTGGTCAAACTTCAGTTTGGAAGGACATGTAAATAAGAATGAAGGGAGTGCTCCATTAAAAGACATGAATAATATGAAAAATTAAGTATGTACCACTTTTGAAAACAATGTAACATAATTAGTTGATATCATCAATTTTTTTAAATATAAGTTTATACACTAAAAATAAGTAATTAGAAAAAAAAAAGTAAAACATAAATTTATTTTTAACACATTATTTTTTATACTATAGTACATAATTTTGAAAAATTCTTACGTTAGCGGGTCAGTAAGGTCGACCAGATTTAAAAAATAAATAAGAATTACAAGAGAGAATTCTAATCTAAGTTGGAGAAGTATGATCTGAGAAATAAGGTAAGAAAAAGTAGAGGCAAAAGTAATTTTTTAATAGAATGTGGAAGTGCTTTGAGAAACACAAAAAAATTGAAAGAGGAAATATTTTAAGAAACGAGGAGAGTAATAAAAAGGTGATAAATAATACGGAGTAGTAATATTTTATTTCCTAATACATCTATTATTTCTAATAATAATAATAAACACCATATACCCTAAAATCTTTTCTCTTTCACTTTTCATCCATTCGAAAAATATTTTTATTTTTTTAAAAAAGTCACTTTTACTGTTACTAAATTTTACACTGTCTAGCACATCATAACTATGCATTATTAATTAATCAATCACGTCGTACTATTACGAATTACATTCAATAATATTTTTGAAAAGACAATACCAAAATACATTCATCTTAAATACATTAAAAGTCAATACCAAAAGAGTTTTTAAAGGATGAAAGAAGGGAACATTTTTTCTCTTTGAGTGGTGGTGGCTGGGCCCGGGAAGAATTACATATTCCATGGGTGCACCCATGGTAGCACCCATGTGGTGGCACCCTAGCATTATTCTCTTATTAATTATATATATGCAGGATATGCTTGTAGCATCAATGGACACTTCAGCAAATGTGATAAACTGGACAATGTCAGAACTCCTAAGACACCCACAAGTTATGAAGAAAGTCCAACACGAACTAGTCACAGAAGTGGGTTTGGAGAGGATGGTGGAGGAATCCGACATGAAGAATTTAAACTACTTGGAAATGGTGATCAAAGAATCCCTCAGATTTCATCCCCCGGGGCCCTTACTCGTCCCTCACGAGGCAATGGAAGATTGCGTGGTTGACGGCTTTCACATATCGAAAGGCGCACGGATCCTGGTGAACGCATGGGCGATTGGGCACGACCCGAATGTGTGGACCGACCCCGAGGAGTTCATGCCAGAAAGGTTTGAAGGCCTCGATATAGACTATAGGGGACGAAACTTCGAACTGATTCCTTTTGGGTCTGGTAGAAGAAGTTGTCCTGGTTTGGAACTTGGGATCACTACGGTCAAGTTTGTGGCTGCCCAGCTACTGCACTCCTTTGATTGGGCACTCCCAGATAACATGTCGCCAAAAGAATTGGATATGACTGAAGAATTCGGTCTTGCACTTAGCCGTGCCAAACACTTGATGGTTGTTCCTCACTACAAGCTGCGTATTTAAGTTACATTAGTTTTTAGTATGGTGCATTTGGTTTCTTGTAATTTTTCACATTAGATTTCATGTCAACTCCAATCTAAGTACTCATATTTTTGTGTCCGGCCGGTCTTGGAATCTATCTGTTCGAACATTAAAAAAAAAAAAACAATCCATGGGCTACAACTACAAACATGAGTTTTTGGTTGGCTTGGTTCTTTTGACATTGTATCGGAGTCTTGATCGGATGACTAAAAAGTCACGAGTTCAAAATTCATTCAGCGTCACTCAATAAAAAAAATAACGTTTGACATGTAAGACTAAGAAAGACTATGTTTGCAAGCAGTGGCGGAGCCAGGATCTAGGCATAGTGGGTGCGTTATACCGGGAGCTCTTGAGTCGTGCCCCAAATATTTATTTAAAGAGATAATACGGAGTATAAAACAATAAAAAATTTAATGGTTGTAAGGATTTCCATTATCATCTAGAACTAATATTTTTAATTATGTCTTTGCCTTCACTCGTGAAAAAGTAACATAAAGCTAACCATAAGTAAATACTGAATTGGTTAAAAATAATACGGAGGACAACAAAAGACAATGTTTGACCTAGACTTTTGTTAATAGTCATTACAAAATATAATAATATTAAGAATTGTCTTCTCTAGAATTTCAAGGGTAGTCCTGAATCAAATGATACCAAATTCATTCGGGGTATATAAATCTTTTTCCCAACCGATTTCCCAAAACGTCAATTGAAGTGATAATGTTCTTTCTCAACTTCTCAACGATTAATATTCTACCATTACACAATCCAAATATTTGGTCAATGTTCTTTAATGACATAATCGGTACCCTATTTTTAAAAATTATTTTGTGGTTTAGGATCCTGGAACATTTGATTTTATTAAAAAAACTAAAGTGTTATCCAATTGTTAAATTTGCATGAAAAATCAAAAATTAAGTACTCTTTTTCACCTCCTAGAATAAGGGATAGGACAAATTCATTTACCATTCAACAAACTCGAGCGTGAGTGATAATACTCCACTATCCTTAAAAAAATAATTTTTCATGTTCTCTAGTAGGTTCGGATAAGTGAATTCCATTGTTCTCTTGAGGGGATAACTTATTTTAAAAATCAAGAATTCAGGCGGGCTTTCAACATGAGCAATTCCATTGATCACTTGTCTAAATTTTCCATCTTCGACTTTGATTATCCAATCAGAAAAAACTTCTGTGTCACTATCTGTGCAAGAGAGTGCAATCTCATATTTTTGGTCAACGTATAAATTTTACAATACAACCACATTTGTGAGGAATTGGTGGTAGCACCTACAATTTCCACTCTCAAAGCTATGAGTAAAACTGAAAGAGTTTGGATAAAATCACCTTTGCGTACAATTGTTTTTCCTCCGAATGGTTAATTTATGAAGTTATTATTAGATATACTCATTACATCTCTCATTGTGCAATTTAACGTCTCAAAAGAAAATATATTCATCGTAGATGATAATTTCCGTATGATTATACTTGTTGGATTGGGTCTACTTTCGGGCTCCCTTGTTTGATGGCATACAATGAGCACTCAGTTGGCACCAAAGGGATTAAAAATCTCGAGTCTCCTTCCCCTAGGAAAAATTGATGCTACAATGTAGTTGGATGTGACATTTAGGACAACATTACCGTTTGACCTCAGAAAAGCAGATAATGATTTCTAAAGAAATATTTTCCCAGTTCCACCGTAACCATGCACAAAAAAGAACTCTCTCTTTCAGCTATCACGACTTCCATTATTTCATTAGATATATTCCACTGATATTCATTCATCATAGATAAATATTCTCTAAGATCAAATGACAACTTTTCATTGTCATAATTTAACTCCTCTACCAAGAAATTATTTTGATATCTATTAAGTTGATTGTCATCTCCAAATGGCATGCCACTGAATTACTTTAAAAACCGTCCATTCCAAATAAGGAACTCTTCAATCTCAATTAGACATAAAATCTTTAGGTCTTCTCGGAAGATTATAAGCTCTGCAAAAAAAGATTTATTTGTTTCTATGCAGTACTCAATTAAAGAGTTTTGTTTTCATATAATGCATTTCAGATGGATTGATAGGTTTAAAAGCTTTCTTTATATTCAAATAACTTGATTCCACAATATTCACATTCGGTCAAATAAATTTCATTCAACAGCAGTTCCTATTTTTTTTAAAAAAACCATTTGTGGGTGACTCATGATACTTGGACGAACAACATTCTTAGCATATTCCCAAATCCTAACTTAGCAACCTCTTTAATACCTTCAATAAGTTATTTATCATCGGTTAATAACCTCAATGCTTCACATGCTTCTATGAATGCGTTATGTAGAACATTGTTAACTCTTCTCAAGCTCTTATAACTTATACATCCTCGCTGGACAGTTAATACTATTCTCAAGTTGTATAACTCTCTGGTTTCTGGAAGCACATATTGTAGCCTGCCTATTGATGGTGGTTTCTGGAAGCACATATTGTAGCCTCCCTATTGACGGTCTTTGTTGCATCAGACCATTTCCGCACTTTGTGGTTGTACACAAAAAGATCTGGAAATTCTTTGCACACGTCAAATTTTATCCCACATCATACTGTGTATTGAAAATCATCCAAGCTTCAAACATTGAAGCTTTGTCATATTTTTTCGAAAACATCTTTTAGATTTTGTTGATCTCTAAAAGTTGCAAATTTTAGTCCTGGGAGATGGAATTTAAACATTGAGTGTGTCCACCATATTAATTTACGTAGTACATAATAATTTATACATATAATTAGTTAATACACAAAGATAATTGTTTTATTACCATGCTCAAAGAAATTTAAAACATGTGTTATTGAAGATAGATCAATTATCTTCTATCTTTTATGCACTTAAAAGCACGATGAATTGTGTAATTACTCTCGGATTGGAGAATTGTATAAAAAATTTTTGGGGAAAAATTACTGGAAAAATTAAATATTTAATTTAGAATAATAAAAATATCATTTGTCAAATCACAGAGCACATTCTTTCTCGAACGTGTTCAATGAGGCGAGCTTATAGCCGATGACGACCTCTCTTCTTCTGTATCTGTAAAAACTATCATAAAATAAATATTGTAAATATTTTTATCTAAAAGTTTTAAACATAAAAAGTTCTATTATCCACTAATATTTGTTATATTGATGTTGACGGTCAGATGAATGAATAAGCAAGAATATTACTTATTTATATTATTTTGATATAAATATCAAAATAAGCATGTTTTTTATTTTCAAAAATTTTAATTAATAGTAATTACACTTATAAAAATTAATATTATACCATAAATATTTCGATTAGGAACACCAATTAATAATTAATTTCTCACACATAAATACTCACATACTAAGTCTTCAATATTTCAAAAATTATTAATGGAAAATGGTAATTTTGTGGCACACATCTTTAAATTTTTAAAAAGTTTGTAATAGAAAATAAGAATTTAAAAATAGAATTTACTAATTTTAAAATGGAACATACTTTTTATTTAACTTAGTATTTTTTAAATATATACTGAATAAAATTATTACTTTATTAAATAGACATACCCATTAAAATCCCTTTTCTTTTATATATCTATTTCTGTTTTTCCAAAGTTTGAAAATATCTCCAATTAGTATTGATTCAAAGTAAAAATAAATATTCATATGTAATTTCTTTTAGTTTTACCAATTTATCCGTTTTTAGAATAAATTTATTCTTTTGATTATGGTTTTTGAATATGAGTTCTTTTTTCAATTACAAAATATATTATTTAATTTAAATATTTTCCGAAAACAATTAAGATATAAAAGTTTTAAACGCGATTATGTTGAGAAATTTGTGTGTAACAAATACAAAATTTAATTTTCATAGAATAAGTTTTTTTATTAATTAATTCTTTAAATATAACTTGATGACATGGCGTGCTGACATGTCAAAACAATTGCCCAATAAGCGCGCCACATGTCATAATTCTAGAAGTCTAACTCTCAAATTTTATATATAAAGATAAAGATGTGTAAAATATAAAATAATGAAGAACTAACCTCTGAGTCATGAAAAATAATACCCAATGATTCCGGCCGCCGAGAATGGGAAGGAACGTGATAAACTCTTATCGCTCTTAGTTTCATCATTAATAGCGCTGACCTCTCATCAACATTTTTTATGTCGGTTAAAATCCTCATGCTTGTAAAAAAAGGCGATGTTGAAGTACTGAATAAAAACACACGTTGAATACTCTTACTACGAAGGATCTGTAAAGGACCGTATTTATAGTATATAATTCTAAAAGGCTAATCATAGTACAAAGGGTTTATTTTTTAAACGAATTTTTTTATATTTTTGAAACAGAAAGTTTTTTGTTTCCGAAGAAATTTTTGAAAAGGTAAGAATATTTAAACGGTAAGAATATTTAATTCTTACCTTTTGGCCTTTATTTTTGAAACATAATTTTTTTCTTTCAAAACAAATTTCCATTCTATTTTTATTTTTGAACATTTACGCTATTAATAGCCTTTATTGGCATGTATTTATAGCCTTTTAATACTTAGTAACTAAACATCACAATTACCATATATAATGACATAACTCTCTTGAAACGGAAATTTAAAATTTTTAAACAGAAATTTTAATATTTTTTATTTTTGAAATATAATTTTTTTCTTTCAAAAATTTCCATTCTATTTTTATTTTTGAAAATTTACGGTATTAATACCCTTTTATTAGCGTGAAATAAAAAATTGGGTTGAACATTTACGTAATAAAATATTATTAGAACGGAAATTAATAGCCTTTTATTACTTACCATGTAAACTGTTGGGAACTAAACACACAACACACACAAATAATATGCGAAAAACGAGAGAAACGGAACACGAACGACACACAAGAATTTAACGTGGTTCGGTTTCCCTACTCCACGGCTGCAACAGGAGGATTTCTATTTCACTTGTCGTGTCTCACGGAATTACAAGTACAAGGGTTAATATATAGGAGAAAAACCTAGGGTTACATAACATGGGCCGGGCCTACAAGTCAAGCCCAAGCCTCCACAAACTCAACATTCTCCCACTTGGAGACTTGATAGTCATCAACTGCCATCCACCACGATTGCCTGTACATCGAGTAATCTTCCACAGCTCTCGTGTTGGAGCGGCCCTCTCATCAGACAACTGAAAGGCCCGATGAAGCTCTCCCAAGCTCCAACCCATCAATCACGGCTAAATCTGCCCCTGATTCGTCCTCGGTCCCTACCGGCTCCCACTGCAGACGCACACTGCCGGATCCTGGAACATCCTGAGAACAAACACTCTCCATACTCAGGAAGAAATTTTCTGGAGATGTTCCAACAAGTGGAATATTGGTTCTCATGACCCACTGTCTTCTAAGAAACTTGGTTGAAGCGCCTCTTGAGCTCCCACTGCCATAAATACCTGTGACTGGCCTCCTTGAACCTTTCCTCGCTCGTCCAACCTGAGTCTGGCATGTGGCTCTAGGTTTCTCTCTTGCAAAGACAACCTTCTTTTGCCCACGAGACTATGTGAACCGGACTTTGTTTCTCTTCTAAATTGGGACGGTCACTCCCTCAGATGGTAACTCGACCATGTACAGCGAACCACTCTTCGTTCCGCGGGCCATGACAAGATTTCCCTTCACGACCTTCCACTGCCCATCTCTGAACTTCACCTCGTGTCCCTGTTCGTCCAACTGCCTAACAGAAATCAAACTTTTCTTCAAGGCTGGAACCACTTTGACATCCTTCAAAGTCCAGAAACTGACTGAAGTCTTCAACACCATGTCACCCATGCCCGTCACATCAAGAGCTCTATCGTCTGCAAGTCGTACCTTTCCAAAGTCTTCAATAACTAGATTCTGCAATGCTTCACCGCTGTGGGTAGCATGAAATGAAACACCAGAATCCATGACCCAAGAATCCACATTGCTTTCCTCACAGCAAGTCAGAGTGACCTCCTCGTCACTCGCGGAGCCTTCAGCAATGTTCACTTTCTTATCATTCGGACACTGATTCCTAAAATGTCCCACCTCCTTGCACTTTCAGCACGTTACGCCTGAGCTATCCCGAGTCTCCGACTGACTCCTTCGTTTGTTCCTGCTCCCACTACCTCTGCTATTAATTCTGCCTCTACCAACATGAAGCAATTCACCAGATGACTCCTCTGAACTCTTTCTTCTGAGATCCTCACCAAGAACGAGATCTCGAATCTGATCAAAGGTGAATCCATCAGGTCCCACTAAACCGATAACCGTTGTAACCGTTCCGAACCAACTATCAGGTAAAGACGATAGCAGTAGCAAAGCTTGATCTTCATCATCGAACTTAATGCCCACTGACAAAAGTCTGGCTAAGATTGAATTCAACTTGTTGATATGCTCGGTAACTGAAGTGTCATTTTTCTTCCTCGTGTTCACCAGCTCTCTGATCAGAAAAACTTTGTTCGCAGCAGATGGCTTCTCGTACATGTTAGACAACGCGTCCATAATTCGCTTCGCTGTCTTCTCCTTCAGAATGTTGAACGCAACATTCTTGGTCAACGAGAGACGGATCACGGACATTGCTTTCCGATCCAAACCTGCCCAATCTGCATCCGACATCTTTTCTGGCTTGTCACCCAAGACCACGTCCAAATCTTTGTGAAACATCAAATCTTCAATTTGCATCTTCCACCAACTGAAATCTATACCATCGAACTTCTCAATTCGGAACTTCCCATCTTCTGTCATATCAAACGACTAGACGAGATACCCGGTACAAAAATTTCAGATCTTGGTAATTTTGTCAGAAAATTAGGCCCACCACACCAATTAAATTAGCCAAAATAAATCAGTCCAAAATCCACCCACAAAATAAAAAATCACGGCCCAAATATAGTGGCTGACTAATTAAAAACAAATTAGCCTACTGCCTACTTTTCCTTCCTTCGGTCCAGCAAAGGGATCACCTTTTGCACCTGCCAATCAACCCTCTTTTTTTTTGCAAAGATCCAACTGACGGCTGCAAAAAAAACTGGATAGAAGCTCCGAATCTAGACAGCAGCTTCTCGAACAGGACGGCACCGGTGCACGACAGGGCTCTGGTCGGCGTCGCTCCTCGCAACTGATTTGCCGCTCGATCTAAACAGTGACAATTTACGGACGGCGATGGTTCCCACTGGACGGATCAGCCTCGGACTGGCGGCGGGGGCTCCTACTCGCGGCGGCGGCTCCTTCTGCCGCTGCTCCTGCGTGCGGCAGTCTGTACGCAAACGGTGGCGGCGGCTCGTTCTGCGCGACGACGGCAGCGACGCGGTTCACTCAAGCGGGGAAACTGGGCTGTGCGCTGGATAGACACAACGGCTCTACCCCTCGCTGCTCGCGGACGGAGATTGACGGCTGAGATTCTCGGCAAATCTGTGCGCGGGTCACTCATCAGCGGCTGCTCCTCAACGCGGTTCTTCTTTGCTGCGCGTCCCTCCTTTGGATCGCAGCTTCTTTGCTACGCAAATAGCCTACATAGCGGCCACACACACCCGATCTGGATCCACACGGTTCTTCACACAAGAACCCTATGTGACAATTTCTCACAATTTGCGTTCGTGTTGAACAACCTTGCTCTGATACCACTTGTTGCGAATTAAACACACAACACACAAATAATCTGCGAGAGAAACAGAACATGAACGACACGCAAGAATTTAACGTGGTTCGGTTTCCCTACTCCACAGCTGCAACAGGAGGATTTCTATTTCACTTGTCGTGTCTCACGGAATTACAAGTACGAGGGTTAATATATAGGAGAAAAACCTAAGGTTACAAAACATGGACCGGGCCTACAAGTCAAGCCCAAGCCTCCTCAAACCCAATATAAACATCACAATACCATATGTAATGACATAACATCTTTTGAAACCGAAATTTAAAATTTTTAAACGGAAATTTTAATTTTTTATTTCTGAAACAGAATATTTTTCTTTCCAAACAAATTTTCATTCTAGTTTTATTTTTGAACATTTACGGTATAAATACCCTTTTATTGGCGTGAAATAAAAAATTGGGTTGAACATTTACGTAATAAATTATTATTGGAACGGAAATTAATAGTCTTTTATTTCTTACCATGTAAACATCACAATTACCATATGTAATGACATAACATCTCTTGAAACAGAAATTTAAAATTTTTAAATGAAAATTTTAATTTTTTTATTTCTGAAACAAAATTTTTTTCTTTCCAAACAAATTTCCATTCTATTTTTTTTAAACATTTACGGTATTAATACCCTTTTATTGGCACAGCATAAATTATCAAGCCTAAGAATTTGGCAATATTCAGATTAATAAAAATTATCAATTAAAGTCGTAGCATAAATTAAACTAAGTAAAGAATACATGATATATGGAAAGAATAATTGAATCACAACAAATCATGTTCTAATTGCAAAGGAATGGTGCATTCATGTGAGATGAGGAAAGGTCCGGGTTTTTTACGGCTAAGGAAAGCTTACTTTATGGGTCGTGTGATTTTTTTCATTTAATTCTCTTGCCACCTCAATTTGCCACATGTCACTCCTCAGCTTTGCCAAATGTCACCCATTAGCTTTGCCAAATGTCGCGTTCCTGCAGCTCTGACTCTGCTTTATATATATAAAGGATATAAAGAATGAAATAGCTTTTTGACCAATGCTATCATCATGATTCTCAAAGAAGTTTGGTGGTGCGGGGTACATGTTTCGTTGAGTTTGTTATGATAAAAAAACTCGTTTTAACGAGGTTATAAGGGGGTAGTGCCCCTTGGCAAGGGTTCGAGGTCAGCGCCCCCGAGCGGGATTCAAGGGGCGGCAGCCCCTGCGGGGTCAAAGGGGCGGCAGCCCCTGGAAGGTATCAAAAAATGTTGTTTTAAAAATTTACTTGAATTTTTAATTTTTGTTATTTGGGTTTAAAGAATTTCTGAGAAAATGTCTCTTTTAATTTTCGCGCGACTAGACGTGAATTTTAGAAAAGAGACGCGACCACATCTTTATCTCCCTCTCCGCTCCTATAAGAATCTAGCGAAGGCATAGTCGAAAACAAAAGACTTAGAAAATCCATCACAATTTAAATATTTTCTTGATGAATAATTTCAGTTTTATCCGATTGATTTTTGGATTACGCCCAAAATAATCAAGTCTTATCACGATTGTCAGATTAATTTGTGTTATCTACGATTTCTCCAACATATAAAAGATAAGGATTGATTAAGTTAAAATCGCAACAAAGAAATAAAAACTAAAAATATAAAAGATAGTTAGGAAAAACGAAAATTTAATTAATTAATAAACCATTTCAATTTAAATGGTGCGGTGCAATATTTTGTGTTTTCATTTTAAAAGAACGCGTAGCCTGCATACCATTTATAAAACACAACGATCTGGTTCGGTATGTTTTTACTAGAGTTATTTGAAACCAATTTTCCAATTCGATACCATTTCGAATTGGCTTAAAATTGTATAAGATACGGAGTAAATGATATTTATACACCAAAAATTGTAACCTACTTTGAGGCATGTCAATGGATCGGGTTCGGGTCGACCCATAGTGTTCTTTACCCATTCTCTTTTTAAAAAATTTGATCCTGATCGGTACCCATTTACCCGATGGGTTTTGAATTTTAATCCTAGATTTAGACTCATTCGGTCTTGGTATAAGGTCGGGTATATTCGTGATAAAAGTTGACATTTTTATTTTTCTCTACTTGAAAAAAATTAGTGGAAATATTATGAATGAAAAACAACTTAGTTGAATTCAAATAAAAATAACACTAATACGTTACTACAACAAAAACCAATCTTCTTTACCAAAAAATCTAAAACAAAAATCTTACGTTCATAATCATTGTTCTTATCACATTCATTGATATTGCTCGAATGTTTTTTGTAACATTACAACTAATTTCAAACTATTCATTTCATATTACTGCATAAACTAACATCTACATGCTCTAATGTGGTGAAATGAATGCAAATAGATTTGGAAGCCACACAACCAACGAAGAATGAGAGTAGCAAAGAAGGGGAGTATGGTTTTGTAATATTTAATATTATATATTATTTAGCTGGTAGGGTTCTAAATGGATCGGGACTACTGGTCCTATACCCGATCGATGCTTTATTTTTTTAAAAAAACGGGTACGGAGTCGGTACGGGTAAATGATATTTTTTATATTCCTAAACCCGCTAAAAATCACTACAAGAAAAAGACTTTTTACCACATTTATTTTGCCACACATGGATAAGCACGGTAAGTAAATAAAGAGGGATTCAAATTGTCCACACTTCTAAATGTGGCTATAAAAATTATCAATTGCTCACATTTAACAAGTGTTGGTGTTTTCTTTTTAATCTAAATTTCAATTAACCGTCCAATTACTCTTTTTTATAGCAATTCCAATGGGTCTTGTATATTGTAAAAAAGACATTATATACAAGACCCTATAGTAAAATTGTCACTCCAATGGGTAGAGCAAAATTAACACTGATGGGAAATAATACGTGGCTCGGCCCACATTTCCTAATTATTTTACGAAGAACGGTCAAACCGGACCTGTTTAATAAAATGGAGGAATAATAGAATATTCCCCTGTAGATGCTCCAGCTACCCCTATAAAAGAAGGGCTCCCCTCAATGTTAAGGAGGCCAATTTCACTCTCATTCCCTGCTCATCTACTCTCTCTCTAGAAAGCTTTAGTGTATATTTTCTTCTTCTTCAAGAGCTCAAATGCTCCATTAATGGCTTCTACGCCTAAATCATGTACCGTGTACACACCCCCGATATTAATAAAAATCCCCCGTTGGCAAGGTACCGCCAAAAAAGGCCCGTGGTTTTCTCCCGATTTGGGTTTCCACGTAAAAATTCCCGTGTTTATATTTTGGTGTATTTTTTAGACTAGTTTATCGTTTTAGCCGGGCTAAAACGATATACCGGTCGATAATTTACACCATCANCTCTAGAAAGCTTTAGTGTATATTTTCTTCTTCTTCAAGAGCTCAAATGCTCCATTAATGGCTTCTACGCCTAAATCATGTACCGTGTACACACCCCCGATATTAATAAAAATCCCCCGTTGGCAAGGTACCGCCAAAAAAGGCCCGTGGTTTTCTCCCGATTTGGGTTTCCACGTAAAAATTCCCGTGTTTATATTTTGGTGTATTTTTTAGACTAGTTTATCGTTTTAGCCGGGCTAAAACGATATACCGGTCGATAATTTACACCATCATTTTGGCGCCGACCGTGGGACTAGAACAAGAAGCTCTGTTTTTGTTCGGCCATCCTACACAACCTATACTTCCTACCAACAAAAGCAAAAAAAAAGAGATGAGAGTTTTTGAGTGTCAAAGAGAGAAACTCCAAGAAAAATTGCCAATTAAAGTTTAGCTTATATGAACACATAGCAGGTGCTCTATTCTTATGTTTTACAAAAACTAATGGGAAAAAAGAGGAAGATCACGGACAGAGAAGACATAGCATGGCCACTAAGGCCTGCCATTGTTGTTGCCCCTTGGAGCTTTTTTAGCCGCCCCTTGCCGCAGCTACTAAATCTACTTTCGATGTGGCTGCCGGAATCTACCGACAGCGTTGCTCAAATCCGCCGTCTCCGCCGCTGTTCAAATCCGGGTCGCCGCCGCTGCTCAAATCTGCCGCCGCCGCTACTCAGACTTGCCGCCACCGCTGCTCAAACCCGCCCCAATCACCACCACAACCAACACTAAACACTGATGAGGTGGTGCCGGAGCAGAAAAAGAGTTGTACCGCCCTCGTACCCCGCCCAGTAGATGGAATTCCGGCAAGGGGTAACAGGGGTACAAAAAAACCAGAGAGGTCACTCTCTGTTCGCCGCTGCCGTCGTGGGTTGGCCATGGCCGCCGCCCGGAGATGGAGCTACCGTCAAAGTTTCTGCCAGAGTAAATTATCACCGCCACCACCAACAAAACCCGTCGCTGTTATTACTACTCAATTTTTTTTGTCATCTATATTGAGGTCTACAAGGCAGATGCTGCTGCCTTTGGAATATATTACCATCATCGCAGCTTGAACTAGTACCCGTCGCCGCTCAAGATACCGTTGTTGAAGTCCGCCATGTGCGCTACTATCTTTGAAGATCGGCCAACTCCGCCGCTGCCGAAGCCTCTAACGCTTCTCCTACTAGTCCACCAACGTCCCTGGATCCTAGATCTGGGAAGTATTGGTGTTGAGATCCGCCATCACCGTTGAGACATGGATCTGTTATTGCCGCCGGTTGTCTTAAGGATAGAGGGAGGGAGACGGTGCAAAAGGACGGCTAGCTAAACAAAAAATTGCCCAATCTAATGTCGGGGTAGCAACGCCAAGGCATGTTCTCGGTGTTCTCGGCGCTGGAGCACTGCCGCGCGTGAAGGAGTCAATTTCAGGGGTAGTTTCCTTGAGAGTAAAAGGGGAGAAATTGAACAAAGAGATCTCATCAAAAATTTGGCACATGGGTATGGTGGACAGATGCAGATTCAGAATGGAGAAATATGAAGGCTTTTCATTTGGCCTTATCACTGTGGCTAAAAATTGAATAGCCAAGTAATATGAGGTCCACCAACCATCATAAATTAAGGCATCAATATATAATGATGCGGAGTATCAAACAAGGGAGTACAAAGTGGTGAGGTCCTACACCCTCATATATCACTTTATCCTTTCAATTATGGTGAAAGACACATGCAAGTGGACAAGGAGTGATCCCTCACTTATTTCTCCATGGGGGCTAGCAATTTCAATTGAGTTTGGAATGGACCCATTTTTATTTCTTCTGTGCGGAATTATACAAATGGGAAGGATGAGGAAGATAAGATGCTCCACCACATTCATCATGGAAAAGAGAGGGCCCACCTCTTTGATTTAATAATATACTCCGTACAAAAGAGTGATGGGAGTATATGGTGGTGAGCTCACAAGGAGATGGCCACACACAAAAATCCAAATTAGAGCATGGTGAGCCCATTGCAAGGTGTACATTGAAGGAGGACATTATTATTCACGAGTGCCTGATGCAATTCATCAAGTACATCAAAGTCACATGCATTTATGCAAATTTTGGAAAGGAAGACTGAGACACATGCCCGGACCTGGCACGCTGGTTACTACACCGGTCTTGCTCAGTATAAAATAAAAAAAATAATAAACCCGGAAGAGGAGCCCGGAAGAGGGTATGCCTGCAAGAGGGCTGGACCTGGAACAAGGTTCGAACCGTACTTACACGGGCCCATGAGATTTGACTGGTGTCGGGGAACCAGCCGGCGCCGCCAAATTGATTGGGGACTAAAAGATGCCCATTAAAAGAAATAGATGGGGATCGTCCACCGCGGCGCATCCTGTTTCCCCCTTCTCAGGGAAGACTTGAACGGGGGGGTGAGCTAAGGCCTCCCCGGGATGGTAGAAATCAAAGGGCCATTAAAAGACTTAATCACCCGGAAGAGGGGGACCTGGAAGAAAGGTGCATTTTGGGCCTTGGAGAGGGCTCGAAACCATCCGACATGGTTAATTCTCCAATGTTGATCTGGCCCGGCCAGCAGCATTATCTTATTGGAAGACTAAGACACAGGCCTGGTCTGGCACGCTGGTTACTACACCGGTCTTGCTCAGTATAATAAAGAAAATATGTGACCCAGTCGAACTGGTACATTGGTCTCACGCCAGTCTTACACATATTTTCCAATAAGCCTGAGCCCAATCGAATTGGGTACACCGATTGCACATCGGTTTCAGCAAAAAAGTGAGCCGAGCTCATATCGGGGACGCCCGATTCATTTAAGCCCTCAATCTGAGGCACTTTGATCGAAGATGGTCTCCGCGAGACATGAAGATAATTACATCAGTCAGCCGGGCTAACACTGATCTTCAACAAAGCTGCTGCAACATACTCAATTCTTATTAACTAACGTCGATGTCGTCTGTATACTAATTTCGTCATGCATCGTTTACTTAATTCGTACTGACATCGGTCTCGACGAAATAACTACTCGAAGCATCGTTGCTTAATCGAACTGACATCGCTATTGTTACAATAATTATTCGCGCGAAGTTTAATCACTCTAACACCGAGCTCCTCGGTAAAGATAATAAAATTATTTGAGCACGGCATAGGCCGGTCAAAAAAAAATGTTGTACGTATTATTTTTGTAGGTAAACCTTCTGAAATTGGAGAACTAATGAAGACTCGGAGGACTAGCAACAATATCAACCGGTCAAGAATCCAAAGTACGAAGATCGAAGATAGCACTCGGAGGACTTGTTTACTTTTTCAAGTTGATGATTCTCACAACTTAAAAAAGTGGAGGACTTATTGATGAGAAATAATACGTGGCTCGGCCCACATTTCCTAATTATTTTACGAAGAACAGTCAAACCGGACCTGTTTAATAAAATGGAGGAATAATAGAATATTCCCCTGTAGATGCTCCAGCTACCCCTATAAAAGAAGGGCTCCCCCTCAATGTTAAGGGGGCCAATTTCACTCTCATTCCCTGCTCATCTACTCTCTCTCTAGAAAGCTTTAGTGTATATTTTCTTCTTCTTCAAGAGCTCAAATGCTCCATTAATGGCTTCTACGCCTAAATCATGTACCGTGTACACACCCCCGATATTAATAAAAATCCCCCGTTGGCAAGGTACCGCCAAAAAAGGCCCGTGGTTTTCTCTCGATTTGGGTTTCCACGTAAAAATTCCCGTGTTTATATTTTGGTGTATTTTTTAGACTAGTTTATCGTTTTAGCCGGGCTAAAACGATATACCGGTCGATAATTTACACCATCAAACACTATATTGTAAAAAGCAAGTCTCACCTTGTATTAATACACTACATGCTTTTCCCATCTTGTAAATTCATTTTTTCTATATATTTATTAAAATACATTTATATTTCTTGTTTTTTATAAAAATATTCAATATATGTATAGTTTGAAATGCATGTACCATACAAATTTTAAAAATATAAATATTATTACAAATAAATATTTAAAAAATAATAATATATATAAAAAAGTGTATTATTTAAGAGAAATGATTGGAGGAGCTATGAAGAAATGGAATGCTAAAACACATTTGATAGTAAAATACAATATACACGGTCAAAATTTACCATACCCTACCCATTGCAGATGCTCGTGTACCATCAACCATCCAGTTACTCGACCTCATCTTTGCCTATTGAAATTAAAGCCGGCTACCGCTGGGTTGAAGCCGGCTACCGCTGGGCTGGTCTCTTGTGCAGCGATGCCTCAGCTCACGACGGCCCTCCTTCTCTGTGGTGAGAGGACGATGAGAGCAGCAACACAAAATCTAGGCTTGGAATTCGAACAACGCAACGATGACCTCCCTCCGTCGGGCGACGGTGACTACTCTGGCGCCGAAGAATCTTCTCTTAGACGGCGGAGCCCTGAGCGACAACGGCAGGTTCATGGGCGATTGTAGTGGCTTGCGATCTAGATAGAAGACAAATTAGTAGCTTTTTACTTTTCTTCATCCTATTTTAAAACTTTTAATTTTTTATTTTTAGATTTATAAATTGTTAGATCTTAATTTTCCAATTTCAAGTTTTTATTCATGAGCTCTATTGACTATTGATTTAGGTTTAAAAAAATTCCTGAGTATTGTTATTCCATTTATACTCCCGTATCATATTTACACTCACATAGGCTCACTCTTCAGAGCTGCAGTTTTCACAAATCAGGTGTAGATGATAAGAAAATAACAATTTGATTTTTCTTCTGCGAACCACAATTGTTTAAATGCTAGAACAGAGAGGGAAATAAATGGAAGGAGACGACATCGGGGCTAGGGGTTGAAACCCTAGCTATGGACCTTGGATTTGCGCAAAGCATCAAGCAGATTCAGAAATTGAGCAGCAGAAAGAGCAGCAGTATGTAGAAGCTAGCAACAGTGAGAACCTGGCAAAAATGGGCAGAAAGAAAGCCAAATCCACTGTTCAAAGGTGTTTTTGCGGGTATAATCTTTAAATCCCTAGTTGAACTTCATTTTCCTCTTTGTTTATGTGCTGATTTCGGTTTTATTATCAACTTCGAGTAGTCTTGCGTATGTTTTTGGGCATGAACTTATCTGAAATTATCTTTAATCTTGTTAAATTATTGATATTGTTTCTATTTTGAATCTACTATATTCTATGATTATTTGCTGTGTACTATATTTAAGATTCAAGCAAATGTTTTAGTATTTAATTGATAGATATGTTGATCATGATGGAGTTGTTTTCTCTATCTTCTATCAAGGTATCTTTGTGAATCATTTTCCTTATCTTCGATGGGTCTAACCTTTTTTTGTTCGTTTTCTTGAGCCGGGAGTCTTTGACAAATAACTTATCTCACTTTATAGGTAGGTTTAACATCTGCAATACTCTCCCATCCACTGACCACATCTATGAGATTCCACTTAATAGTTGTTATTGAGTGGAAACTCTAATATTTTGCTAACTTATATGTTGAACATGAGTTGTTTTCTCTATCTTCTATGACTGTTTGTTATATACTGTGTTTAAAATTCAAGCAACACTTTATGTTTTAGCATGTATTAGTTGATGATTTTGAAGGATGATTCTAATTTCTTGCTTAATAGTGGCAATTTGTACTCTGTAAGTTTGTTCAGTTTGAAACTTTGAAAGTTCAGTCAGTGGCTTCTATCTAGTTTTGTTCTTAGTACATGTACAAGTGGAAATAAATTAATGTATTGGGAATTGAAGAGTTCTTAATGTTTGTTTTATCTATTTTTTCTTTTCTTCTCTCTGAATTCATTTAGATGGTCTTGTTATAAAGATCTCTATCTCATGAATTGTTTGAGTTACACCATTGTATATGCATCTGAAACATTTTTTGGTTTTTTTGCAGATTGCTCTTGCCTTAAAGGATTTTGGTTTTTCTTTCTTGGGACAGTCTCACTTTGAAGACCGCTAGTTTGAAAAGTATTTTCAGATCACTTGAAATAAGCATATGAGGTAATTTAATTAATAAAGTTCTCTTTCAAATTAATTAATTAATTTCTACGTCAAACGAATAGTTTTTATTAATATAAAAAAACTTTATTTTAAATGTAACGAATTACGTCCTTTTTTGAATTTATAAATTTTCTGAAGTGCATATGAGGTTGTCGGTTTAACTTTTGAGGATACTAGTATGCCTGAACGCCTAATGCTTTCTCATTTTATTGCGAATTAGATGGTAAGGCTGGTGGATTTAATTTTCGCTGAATATGCTGTGGATGGGTTCTGCAAACTCTTAAAGGATTGTTATGCATGATTGGCTTTAAGATGGATGCTATGGAGACTTGCTCTTATATGGAAATACAGCTCTGCATGATTGGCTTTTTGTTAATTATGAGTATTATCCATTAGCCTTGTAGTTTTTCCTTTAGTTTATACATGCTCTATCTGCGATACAATGCTTAGTAACATCCTGAGTGATGATGTATGTGTTGTACTTTTGATGCACTGTACTTCTCATTTCATTTATTAAGCATTTTCTATTTGCAAAAACAACCCATTAATTATTATAATATTCAGAGTATAATTTCTATTTATTTTTAACAATATATTCTATATTAGTTATGATTTTTTTTTTTGTAAAACATATGATATTAACAACACTTAAAAGTGTGGGGAACTATAAAAGCACATTTAAGTGCGGCAAATTAAAGCATTTACAACACTTAGAAGTAGACCTGGCAATCGGGTCAATCGGTTTGGTTCCGGTTCGGGTCTTTTCAGTTTGAGTCTCATTCGGATATATGTTATAATCGGTTCGGGTCGGTTTGGTTCGGGTCAGTTCGGTTCTAGGTTAATTTCGGTTTGACTGGTTTTCAGTTTCGGTTTGGTTTCGGTTCGGGTTTGTATCGGATCGGGTTTATATCGGTTTGGGTTTGTATCGGTTCGGGTTTGTATCGGTTCGAGTTTATATTGATTCGAGTTTGTATCGATTTAGGTTTATATTAGTTCAAATATATATCAAATATTTACTAATAAATCAATAATATCTCATAATAATTTTAATCAATTTATGATATACTCCGTAGTTATTTTATTATTTAACACGGACATACATAAAATTTAATCAATTTCGAGTCTAATTGGTTCCGGGTTTAATCGGGTTCGGGTTTAATCAGTTCGGGTTTAATCGGATTCGGATCTGAATCGGGTTTGAATACATTCGGTTCGGGTTTGGTTCAGGTCGGGTCATTTCGGGTGTTCGGGTCTATTTCGGTTCTTCAGTTTTCGGGTCAAATCGGGTTTGGTTCCGGGTTATTCGGTTCGGGTTATCGGATCCGGGTCAGTTTTGCTAGGTCTACTTAGAAGTGTGCCTAATTGAAGCATTTGCCACACTTATTTTAAATGCGGCAAATATTTCCCCGCATTGCGAATGGGCACACATATATAAGTGTGGCGAAAAAGCCTAGCAACACTTTTATGTGCGCTGAAGAGTAACTTTAAGTGTGACAAAAGATAGTTTTTCTTGTAGTGAATTATGGGTACTATACGAGTTTTGGTTTATATCCGGCCCATTGACAGGCCTACCTACTTTGTACTCCGAAGGCATGCACTAACATTTTGTGTTAGTGTGATACTTTACAATGACACAAAATATCAGTACAAATTTTTTTGATTGAACTAACATTTTGTATCAGTGTGAATCGTTAAAACACTAGTACATCCCTTTGGGATGAAATTTAAAATACTCCCTCCGTCCCTGAGTATTTGTATATTTTTGACTTTTTTCGATCAAAACTGGTAAACTTTGACCTCAAAATAATTAAAAATGATATTAGATATTGATACAAAAGTAGTTTAATTAGATTTATTATATCAAATATTTTTTAAATATTATTGTATTTAATTGATATACAATATATATTTTATTTAATTATAGGTCAAAAGTTGAAAACAGTTGACTGAAAAAATCAAAACTAGACAAATACTCAGATACGAAGGTAGTATATTTTTAACATAGTTGATTGATATATTGAATAAAGTAGTGTAGATATTACGTGTAATTTTGTTCAGTCCCTAGAAAACAGCTAGTTGCCGTCACCAAAAAATTCTGTGTTAGGTACCATTAGTCACTAGTATTTTGACCTGTGCCATGCACGGGATCGAAAGAAATTTATGTCGATTCGGAATTTATTTTAATGAAAATTTTATTTTTCAGAATAAAGTAAATATATTGCTCACATGATCTTTAATACAACAAATGAAAAAAGCCAAAGTAAAATAAATAATATTTGAGGAACAGAATGTAGAGTTAACAATGTTTATTTTAATACCAAATTTTCTGAAAGGTTTCAGGGTATACAACATTTTTGGTATGATTGCAAGAGTTTCTATTGTCATCTAGAACTAATATTTTTAATCCGGTCTTTGTCTTCACTTGTGAAACAACAAAATATAGTTGACCATGTGTGAACACTGACTTTGTTAAAAATAATCCCACAAATGACAATGTTTGACATTGACTTTTGTTCATTGTTATAGCAAAACATGAGGTGATCGAGAATTATCTTCTTTGGAACTTCAAGGGTAGCCCTAGATCAGATGATACCAAATTCATTCTAGGGATGTAAACTTTTTCTCCGACTCGATTTCCCGAAACCACAATTGCACCGATAACATTATTTCGCAGCTCTTGAACAAATAATTTTGTCCCATTATACAATCCAGATGTTTGGTCAATGTTCCTCAATAGCATAATCGGCACCCCTTTTTTCAAGACTATTTTGTGGTTTGGGATTCCCAAACATTTGATTTCGTCAAAAACTCAACTGTTATCCAATCGTCATCAACACTTACATCTGCTTCTGCTTGGCACGAAGAATCAGAACTCAAGTACTCCTTTTCATCACCAGGAATGAGGGACAAAACAAATTCATTTATCATTTCAACTACTTCGAGAGTTGGTGCCAATAGTGCTTTATCCTCATAAAAGAATAATTTTTCATATTTTCAAACATAAGTAATTTCCCAATATAAGACCTAAACTTTTTCAAATTTTTCATTTTTCATTTTTCAAAATTTCCATTTTTCATATTTCAAACTTTTTCCCAATATAATTTTTCAATTTTTTTTATTTTTCATATCTGCACTAAAATAAGACTTAAACTTTTTATCCCTTAAATAACACTTAATAATGTCTAGAAGGAGAAATAATATCCTGTGACGGTGAACATTTGTCTAAATAATGACTAATGGATAATGACTAAAAGTGCTACATTGGGAAATAAAAAACATATGTTGCTATTTAGGGAAAGTCATTATGTTTTAGTGTTATTTAGGTAAATTCCTCTGACTATGAATATATATATCGAGTATCAATTATTTCAGTTGAACACAGCTTAGTTGCCATTTTGATAAATGAATTACGTGTTAGATATAAGTAAATTTTCCAATTTAAGAATTATATTTGAACTTTGAATTATTTACATTGATCATTCCGTATCAATGCCTATTTTTTTTCCTC